AATACAATATATTTACCTGTATGTTTGTTTTCTGTCTGCATTTGCAAACTTTGTGCAATTATACCCAACATAAATCACAGTTTGTTTGGTTTTGTTTTTTTCTTTTTCTTTTGTTTTTATTTTTTGACATGAAATTGAGATAGAAACTATATTATAGGGTGGAATGCTTTGATGTTTTTAGGAAAATATAATAAAAATATATATGTATATAAATAAATAAACTAATTTCGCCTATTAGTGGTCATAATGTTATGACTGAAATATGTCTTAAATATACTTAGCCAGTAGAGGGCGCTCTAAACTACTGGAACTCAATGATTTGGAAGCGCTGTTTTTTACCCTTTAAATCTTAACCTTACAAAATAAAAAAAATTATATTTGAGTTAAAACGCAATAAATTGTAGATTTTAATAGACTTATATTGCATCATAAATTAAATCAGCGCAATTTTCTGTACAATAATGTTCTACTCTAACAACCAGTGAGATCTAAAGCTGCTTTTTTCATTGCCTGTTAACCTATAAGCAATCTAAATATAAAAAAAAATCAAACATAACGTGTGTTGAAATGTTTTAGTTTATAGCGCGGCAGTAGGCGCGCAAAAATGTAATAATTGAGCTTGCAATTAAGGGGCGCACCACATTTGAATTGCGCTCAGCTCATTGTGACACCTCTGCAGCAGCATTTAATTAAAGTCGAGCCTCGCTTTGTTTGCGCCCTGTAATGCGGCTTGTCTAAAGTGAACCTCAATAGGACAGAAATTTCAAGTTTTGTGAGGAGGAGGAGGTGAAGGAGGAGGAGGAGCAGGGGGGGTATTATACTATTGTCCGCCCCTTAATCCGGTTGGCTCAGAGACTGCCTGCAGGCCAATTTGTAAATGGTTTGTGGAGCTGCCAATCAAAGCAGACATCCTCTCCTCAGGCTGTGACTGCGAAACATCTCAGTTGCTGTGTGGAGAGATTTCACGGAGGAACCCTCCCGTGCGTGGAGCCATCAGTGCGCCGCAATCCGTAATGCCTCGGTGAGGATCTGCCACGGCGGAGAGCACAGCAGCGCCTGTGAAATACTGTGGATTTTGCATGACAGCAGAGGAGGAAACTGCTCACCGGCTGTTTGTCTGTTTCTTATCTGCCCCCCTCCCTCCCTCACATGTCACTCTAATTAATCGGAGGCATGTGGAACCGCACCAGGATTAGGAATCGCCTCCCAATAGTGTGCCTGCTGTTGACGTTATGGACCAAGGTAAGGATACTGTTATTTCTACCCACCCTAAACACGCTCTTATTTATGTATCTAAAGATAAATAAAATATATTAAATGAGAGGAAACTTGGGGGGAGGTATTAACTGCATTTTCGCATCACATTAATGGATAATTGAATTACGCAGCGCTTTCAGTTGTGCAGCATGTGATCGCGATACCATGACATGACTGGAGTCTGATAGAGGCTGCTCTCCATGTTTGATTCTCAGTCTCATAATCCTTTATTTATGAGAGGGGGGGAGAGAGAAAAGGCCCGGAGTGAACAAGTTAGAAGTTGCATCGCCTTGTTTTCCTGCAGCAGCTGTTAATGAGCAGAAAGCGACCTGCTTGTGTGAAATCCCTGCATGCAAAGTTGGAAGTTGCTGCTTTGCATCAATTGGCCGCTGCGGTGGATCGTTTTGCTCACCTGCTTCCATCAGGCTGGGATGGAAAAGCCTCATTGCTCCTCATTTGGACCCAATTAGACCAGCTTTACATCTTCACGCCTGTCGCGCCACCGATGGTGAATGCGCGCGCGCGTGCGTGTGACCTGAAGCCATCCATATGACACCTTATGCACACTTACTATACCTCCTATCAGTCTAAGTTTTAATACATTACAAGGATTGTTTATTTTCTCTTTCAATGTTTCATTAAAGGGAGGGAGGGACAAATCACACATAATTAAAGTCACCAATGTGCAATTGCTTTTTTTTTTAATAAAACAGAAGCTTTTTTGTTTGTTTTTTCTATTGCTGACATTTTATTCATGTATGCACACCTATATTGCACCCCTGAGGATGCTGGGTAAATATAAAGTCTGCAGACTACAGACACAGAAGGATAAAAGCTGCAAATCTTTGACCCACTTTAGTGATCTGCCTATCTTTACACCACCAAAGTGGACTCACATGAATGTGTTAAAAGTCTGCACGCTTAAATTATGAGTTTGTCCTCTTTTTCACTTTGAAATTTTCCTTGTATATGACAGAACCAATCATTTGGGGTGCAACTTCCTTCACCCAGATTAGCAACACAAATGCTATTGTGGGTCTATGAGGAGAGAGGGCGGGCTGCATTTAATTTTGGCCCCGTTGTTTCCAGGTGTCCCAGTCAACCGGCTATTTTGAGCTGCAGCTGATCTCTGTGGAGAATGTGATCGGCGAGCTGGCGGACGGGGAGTGCTGCGATGGCCCCAGGAGTCCCCAAGACCTGCGCTGCAGCCTGGACGAGTGCGATACTTACCTGAGAGTGTGCCTGAAGGAGTACCAGCAAAAGGTCACCACCACCGGGGCCTGCACGTTTGGAGCCGGATCTACGCAAGTTCTTGGTGGAAATATGTTTTCTTTGGAGACCACCAAGAATAACGCCAATAAGATCAATGAGGCCGGCAAGGTTGTGATCCCCTTCCAGTTTGCCTGGCTGGTAAGTGAGCAAACACCTGTTATGTCTGATCATTTTTCCACCATGGTAGTCAGTTTTTTTTTTCTTTTCCTGCAATTTTTGGTCATCTACTTAAAATTCAGAATGCATTTGGAAATTTGGAGGAGCATTAAAACCTGATATAACTAAAGTAACCCCAAAAAAGACATCATTATAGCTGCACATTATCATATTTAAGGGATCTGCAATTGATGATTTCTCCTTTTATTAAAGCCTATAAATGTATGCACTGCCTTTCATACTAATCTTCAGAACACATCCTTAAGTAAGCTGATAATTGCAGTTTTCTTAACGTCATCTGCTTAAAACTCTGTTTACGTCATGGAATCGACATCAGATTTTTCCTCCAAGGTCTAAATGTCAGTTTTATCTGTTAAACCGAGATCTTGGCTATTTTTGTCAAATTGCTTTTGCCAAACAAGGATATTTGGATGTTTTAAAGGCAAAAATAGTAACTTTTTTTTATAATTATCTGATTAGAGGAGCACAATGTTTTATAGTGACATTTGGTCATATCTTAAAGTTGCCTCTAAATGGAAATAAAACAGGTTTTGTTGGATTTTATCCGATCGCTCCAGCTGAGGTCATGTCAGCACAGTCAAAGGTGTGTAGATTCTTATCAAGTGGGGAACTACAAGTTCCCGTGTGGATAAACCGTCACAGGACCTTTTATCTTTATTATTTATGAGTTTCAGGAAGACTCTACCAGAATTCAAATAACAGCTAAAGCAAAAGACAATTTTCTCTGTATGCAAAGCAGGAACAAACTTCCAAGCTTTTGCAGGTGGGTGGGAATGAGGTGTGTCTGCTTCTAGGCGCTTCTGTGGGGTTGATGCGCCTCTTAATTCCACAAAGAAGAAAAAAAATGATGAATGGTCTGACATTATCCCATAAGCTTGAGTTATGCGTTCAGCTGAAACGAGTGATGCCTTCCGGCGCTGGTTCTGTGCGTGTTACTGGTTGGTTTTAACACCTCTCCTCCCCATTCTCCTCCTCTCCCCCCGCTGAGGGTGCCAGGTGGCCCCTGGTGGCCCCTTCAGGGCAATTAAACTTGTGGGAGTGCAGATGAATGATAGCTGGTGATTTTGGCTCACAGATGAAACATCTACTTTTTATTAGTGCAATGTTTAATATAATGATGCTTATTTTGATATTAAAAGCTTTTATTTCCGTATTTTCATTAGGTGTTTTTTGCAGATGGTTTTTAACTGGAGAAGCTAATCGCGTTTTGGTAACATATTTGTAAGCTGCAGGGGAAAATGCCAAGAGGTGTAATATTAAACACGAGGGGCTGTATGTTAAAGCAGCAAGGAGGCTTTTACACAGTCAGGTGTTTTTTTCTTTTTCTTGCCACCTGGGATGATGCTTTCTGCAGATGAACTGCATGCCTCACCTGACGCAGAAAAGCAACCCTGAGAAAGGCTGTCTGACTCCCTGAGAGACACCTCGAGGCAGAGGTGAAGAGGGCTATTCTGGTGTGTTGTCCTTCTGTTAAGTGTCCCAGCTGATAGCGGTGCACTATTCCAGTGCCAGATGTCACAACAAGCTTGTGGGGGTCACCGGCCGCGGCGTCGTTGCTGTCCTCACTCAAGAGACAAAGATGCAGTGTGCTGTTGGCTGTGTCATCTGGCCAGCTAACGAGCGAGGCTTGGGAGTCCTCGCCTGTCTATGAACCAGACTTCAGCAGAGGTCTGAAAATATATTGCTACAGGATTTGTTTTTGTTTTGTCTGGAGCTGTTTTAATGATGGGATAATTAAACTTCGCATTTTGGGGAGAAAAAAAAGTACAAGAGGCAGTATTTCTGGCTTTCCTACTAAGTTTTGATAATCGTTGATGCTGAAAGCTTTCCTTATGTAATAATTAGTTGGAAAGGGAAATTGAGGCAAGCAACTTTTAAATTGATCCTCTGTTCCTGAGATGCATGAATCCCTTTCAGTCCTCTAAACTGGCTTAATTTATTTATTTATTTCATAGAGCAAACCCTAGCTTTGTTTTTTCCTATCAAATAAAAAAAGCATAAAATTATGTTTAATCATAAAGGAGAAAGTATGTGTGGTTCTTTAATGAAACAAAATGATCATCTTCAGGTAAAGATTAAGGTTTTCTTGATTTCCTTTTGTCAGATTAGCACATTTAGGGGCTGGAAATATTATTCCAATCTTTGGGTAAAGTAACCAAAGCTCATTTAGATTAATTCACCAGTTTTTTCTAGTTTTAATTGCAACACAATTCTCTTTAAGAATTTGAATTCGGGCTTTGATTTGGCCTTTCTAAGTATGATAATGCATGGATTTTAATTATCTTAAGTTCCTGATTGTCCTGTGAATGTGACCCCAGGTTTTAGGTGTTTGCAGCATTTAAATGTTGTTTTTTTAAATTCAGGAGTAAGCTCTATTTAGCTCCATCAATGATCTGATCGATTGAAGTGACGCCGTCTGTTAGATCACTTAATCAGCGTGGAAATTAAGCCAGTGAACAGAAACCTCTGGAAACGCAGGATAGAAGCACAACTTTACCTGAAACTTTTTCTCTTATCTGCAAACATTAATGCAAAGAGAAAAGGTTTTTGTTTCACATCAAGTCAGTAAAGTCGGTTTAAATCAGCAACAGAAAAATCAGATTTAAAGCCCAGGCTTTCCACAGGTGGAAGAACAATAGGGGGTAAAGTCATGTTGGCTGTGAGGAAAGTTGTCAATTTTTTTTTTGCAGTAAAAAAAAGGTTAAGTGAAACAAGAGAAGGGTGAAAATAAATCAGTTTTTATCTTTTATATCATTTTATTGCAGCCATGGCATGAAGGCACGTTGCCTTGGACACAGTTTCTTACAAACTTACACTGATCACTAAGAAGCATAAGCTCTTCCAAGCTAAACATAAACAATGTAATTATAAATAGAGCTGCAATCAAGGATTATTGTGTAAATCTGTCAAGTATTTTTTCGATTAATAATTGGACAGCCAAAGGTTAAGCATATTGACAGATGAAAGTTTTTGTTCATCTTAATTGAAAACATTTTGATTATATATACATATATTTTTTTTACAATCTTGGTATATTTACTACTCTAAGTGGGTCACTCTGTCAGTTAAAGGCATGTTTTACAGTCTTTATACTCCATTAAACGATTAATCAATGACTAGATTAGTTGACTATTAATTGTTTCAGCCCTAATTATTACAGAAAAACCCCAGAAGAACTGTTTGTCCCCTTCGTACAGGCGAACTAGTTGCTCCTGTTGATAGCTGTGTTGTTGAGTTGCTCATGTTTTCCCCAGCAGCCCTTTTCCATCCGACTCCTTTTCAGTTTTTAAAATGAAAATGTTTTCTTCCCTCTTAATAATGGGGATTAAGCATGTCTGAATTCTTTCTCTTTAACAACATTTGGACTTTTTTAGATTTTTTTTTTTGTTTTAAAAAAAGTTTTTATTGAAATTTTCTTTTTAAATAAAGCTCCTATGCTATGCCTCTCTAATGCAAAATCCTGTTAATTTTTTTGGAGTGCGCTCCTGCAGAGGAGTTCTGTTTTATTTTGAGACTAAAAGCTGATTGGTCAGTTCTAATGAGCTGGATTGATATTAGAGGTGAGTATTGGCATGAGTGTTGCGATTCGATACATGTCGCGATACTTTGGCACGATACGATATTATCACGATATTGCAGTATCACTATATATTGCCATATTTTCCCCAGCTAT